CCATCTCCTGCTGCACCATCTCCTACCTTATCTCCAGTCTTCAGAGGGAAAAAGAGTAACGAAATAGGGCCTCCCATCTGACTATATGCATTCCTCTCATGCTGTACTTTTCTCCTGCCTGAACTCTATCCTCTGTCAAGAGGAAAGGCACCTCTCATCAAAGATGAGCATTCTCACAACTGGTCCTACCTGACACATCCCAGTGATTATGAACCCCTGTGAGTTATCATCCAAACCCCAATCTCCATCCTCCACCTGATTCCTTATTTCCATCCCCCTCAACTCTCTCACCCCAAAGTCCCAACCAAACACCACCCACCCTTCCTCTGTGCCCTCTGGAATGCCTGCTTCATAAGTAACAACCTTCCATTCATGTTAAATCTTTTCCTGTCCCTCTCCTTCCATCTTCTAGCAATCACTGAAATCTGACTCCCCTCTAATGACACAGCCTCCTTGATCACCCTTTCCAGTACTGGTTGCAGTCTCATTCTCCTCAGCTGATTGGTCAAATTCCCCTTGATTCTCATCACCACTTCCAGGTTTTCCTCCTGCCACCTTCACTCAGTAACCTCTCCTCCTTTGAGGTCTGTGCTATTCATATCCACCACTCAGTAAAAATCATAGTAGCTACTGTCAACAGACCTCCAAGTCACTCCTCTTATTTCCTCAACAATTCCAGTACCTGGCTCACAATCTCTCTCTCCTCTCCAACTCCTACCTTCCTACTAGAGGACTTCAACATACATATTAATTCTCCTTTAAATACCTTAACTGCCCAGTTCCTCAACCTATTCATTTACCATTATGAACTCCTCCACCCCATTTCAGCCACACACAAAAATGGCCATACCCTTGATCTTGTCTTTACCCACAAATGTATACCACTTCTATGTTCAAGAATTCCAAAACCCCCTTATCTGACCACAATCTACTAGCTTTCCACTTGGCCCTCTGCTTTTTCTTACAAAACCCTACTCCTTACCCTCACTGTGATCTCCAATCTCTAGATCCCTCAACTCTCTCCTAGGCCATCACTCCTGCACAAGCAACTCTCTACTCTTCTCCCCATCTTGACCCCTTGGTGAACCAGTTCAACTCTATACTGTCTTCTTCTCTTGAGCCCCTGATCCCCTTCTTGTATCACCAATTACCTTACCAAGCCTCAGCCTTGGGTGACTCCCACCATCCACTGCCTTCACTCCCACACACACACTGCTCAAAGTAAGTGGAGAAAATCACATAGCCATTCTAACTGGGTCCCCTACAAATTTATGTTACACAATTTCAATTGCACTCTCACTACTGAATTTAATTACAACTGCTAAGCAACCCTACACCTCTCTTATCAACTCCCTAACCTACTCTTCTCAGTGTCTATTCTAAACTTTTTCAACCCTCTTCAAACTTCCTCCTCCCCTATTCTCTCAGTTGCAAAGTTTACCACCTTATACAGAAAAAAAAGAATTGAAGCCATTCATGGCGAGTTCCCTCTTCCTCATCTCGTATCACTCTGATGCTTTCTGCCACTGTTCTCCTTCACACCTGTCTCAGAGGTAGCCTTACTCCTTACCAAGACCCACCCCTCTACCAAAAAATTGCAAAAGCAATTCCATTCCATCCTCTCTCCTCCAACACATTACCTCCTGTCATCCCCACTCTCACTTATCTTCAGTCTCTCCCCATCTATTGGCTCCTCTACTGCCTATAAATAGGCTCATATCAGCCCTATCCTCAAAACTCACTTGATCCCTCCATCCCCACTAACTATTGTTCTATATCTCTTCTATCCTGTGAAGGGAATATGTTAGATGGGAAGAGATGAGGAGCATTCTTGGGCTCCCTTGTGGACTGTCAAACAGCTGGATGTTATTTTAGACATACATTCTTATAGATGCAGAAGCTTGGCTATAGGCAACTATGCGTGTCACATAAATAACTGAAAACTTGTTTTAAATCCTAATTCATTAATTTAAATCTACTAATTTTAAAATTGCTTAAAATTAAAATTGTTTATAATTAAAATCAATTAATTAAAAAATCCATAAATGAATGTCCTAAGAAAAAATACATAGGATGATCCATACACACAGAATCCAAATGAAGATAAAAACAAGACAACAGAAGGAAAAGTGAACTTTGATCTAGTTATTTCTAGATAATAAATGTATGCAATGTAACAAGTCAAAAAATGACACCAAGTATTATTGACTTAAACTATTAAAAATTAAAAGGGTTTTCTCCCCCAAAACTATAGGCAAAAGAGTTAGATAAGCTGATTCATCTCAGGTCCCATACTACTAGAAATTATACAGATAGTATATGGTACATGTGCTGACTAGGGAGTCGAGATCTGTGTTCAAACTCTGTCTCTGATAGTAACTCTGTGATAGGCAATGACTTTAATCTCTGTACCTTACTTTCCCCATCAGTCAAATAGGGATAATACATATTATCTACCTAGGAAGCTAGGTGGATAGAGTTTGGGACTTGAAGTTAGGAAGATCTGAGTACACATCTGTCCTCAGCTACTTACTAGCCATGTGACAATGCAAGTCACTTAATTGCAATCTGCTTCGGTATCCTCATCTGTAAAAGGATAACAATAGCATCTACTTCCCAGGGTTGTTGTGAAGATAAAATAAAATATCTGTAAAGCAATTTGCAAACTTAAAACACTATATAAATGCGAAAAATAATTACCTCAGAGTTGCAAAGAGTAAGGAGCTTCGTAAGCCTGAATGAACTCCACACACACAGGTAAATATTTGTCTGGACCCATAATATTGCCTATGTGGGAAATTATTAGGAAGGAATCTCCCTCCACCAATATAGATGAGCTACTCAACAAGCCAGCCAAACTAGCCTACTTGCTGTTACATGTGCATTTCGCATCTCTTTACAGAGGCTGTCCCTCATAGCAACTGCACTCCCTGCTCAATTCCACCTCTTGGACCCCCTAGCTCCATTCAATGCTTGGCTAAAATTCTACCTCTTTGAAGAAGTCCTTCCTAACTTCCTCAATTAATGCTACCCTTTATTCCAAAATTAGTTTGTACATATTTTGTATTCACTTTTACGTGTACATGTTGTTTTGCCCAAGTAGAATGTAAGCTCCTTGGGGCATCAAAAAAGAAAAACATACCAAAGAGGAAGACTCACACACTCCTCTGAAAAAAGCTCCTCTCTATACCTGGTTTGAAATTCCTGGTTGGCAAGTGAAGCCAACATAATGATGAGCGCTCTCCTAATCTTCCAGTCAGCTTTTACAAATACAGTCGGAGATGCTGTAGACATGGCCAACTTTGTTTCACAATTGAGAATGTGAGGGAGTAGCTAGGTGGCGCAATGGATACAGCACTGGCCCTGGAGTCAGGAGGAACTGAATTCAAATGCAGACTCAGACACTTTGCACTTAATAGCTGTGTGACCCTGGGCAAGTCACTTAACTCCATTGCCTAGTTAAAAATTTAAAAAAAAAAAGTGTGAAACAGCAGAAAACAGACCCAAAGAATAAAAGTAACAAAACTCTGTATCTCTTGCTATCCTTCCACAGATGGCTCTTTAGGAACAGACAACCAACATTAAGAATAACATGAGTATAGTTTTTGTGGGGCACTAGAAGGCCTTCCAATGGTGTAGCAAACTTTAGTTTGCCTAGCAACCAGCATAGAGCAGACACAAAAATTCTGTTGCCTGAGAAATGCAGGATCTAAGAAATGGTATGAAAAAGCAATCTAATTCAGGAGAGCTCATAAAACCTGAAAATCAAACACTTCCCTCCTCCTGCTAAGAAGAGAATCAGAAGACAGGGGGCCACCCCTCGTCCTTTCCCACCTGCCCTGGGGGAGAAAAAAAAGGCCCTGATTCAAGCAAACATTTATTACAGATACATACAGCATACAGAGAATCCTGTGCTCAGTACCAAGCAGCAAGAGACACAAACACACCGGAGCAGTCACCTAGAATATGGAATAAGCCTCTCTATTAATTGGATTTAATATCAGGTGGTGTGAATTAGAACTCCTGGTATTTGGAAGTGAAAGAGAGAGAGTGTGTGTATGTGGTTCCTCTAACATCTTGACCAATGTCCTTCACAATAGGCCACATGTCCCTGCACCCTAAAGTTGGCCCTTAGTATGGCAGTTTCCTGGACCACAATGGCTTCCTTGACCCTGCAGCAGGTTTTCTTTTCCTAATCCTTTCCATTGACTTAACCAAGATTCTTCTCCCTAGTTCCTGCTTTTTGCTCCCTCATTCTTAAGTGGGAAACCTAAATGCAAGGATATTTCAATGAGCGTTTGTTTACAGTGGACAGAGAAGATTGAGAAAGAGTTCTTCATCACTGGGTAACTGAGTTTGTCGGTCCCCACCCCATCCACTCTTTTCACTCCCCATCCTGTATTTGCTAACACAGTCTGACTTCTTGGGGATGCTGGTGAACTGTCCCTTTTCTTCTTTTCCCCCAGATTGGTAATTTCCTGAGCCACACCTGGTCAGCATGGTACAGGGGAAAAAAAGTACCTGAACTCAAATTCCACCTCTGATGACAATTGCTACCTGTGTGATCTTGGGCAAGTCACTTACTTCTCTGAGCCTCAGTTTCCTCATCTCTAAAATAAAAGGGTTGAATGAGGCTTCTTAAGTCCCTTCTAGTTCCAACTCGATGATCCTATGAAGTTACTTCTCCCTTCCCTCTCTGGTAATCTAGCAAGTGGGCTTTCCCCCGAAATGTAGAAGGGGCTTAAGTCACTAGCAAAACAAATACCAAACCAATTATGAGGCAGCATGGTATAGTGAATAGAATGCTGGAGTTGGAATGAGAAAAATCTGGGTTCAAGTCATGACTATGACAACTAGTAACTCTGTAGTTAGTAGGCAAGTCATTTAGATTGTAAATTCCTTGAAGGAAGGGACTATCTTTTGCCTCTTTTTGTATCCCCAGCACTTAACACAATGCCAGGCATATAGTAAGTAAGTCCTTAAAAATGTTTATTGAATGAATAAATGAAAATTTCTGTAAGCTCCAGTTTCTTCATCTGTAAAATGAGGGTTGGATTAGATGGCCTTGAAGGTCCCCTTCCGTCTCCATATCTACGATTCTATAAAAATATGAGCTCAACAACTATTCCATTATCAATGGGCATCCTACGTACGCTAAATAGCATTAAAAACAACAGGAATTATGCCAGAGCTAAGTGGAGAAGACTAATGGCAGATATCCAATGAACATTATTAAGTATCTAATGAATGCAAAACACAATTTTAATATGTTTAAAGTTCAACTGGGATTAAAAAAAAATCTCACATGATTTAGTTAGAAGGCAAATAAAAACCAATATACGGAATCATAGAATATCAAAACTGGAAATAATTGAGGCCAATCCCTTTAATTTACCAAGAAAATGAGGCCCCAGAGGAAAAATTATTTGCTTGATGTCAGTTAGTAGAATCAAGGCTGGGGCTAGAGTCCAGGTCTCCTGGTTTTTAGCTCATACTCTTTCCAGTGCATAAACTAAGTAGAAAATAATATGCCACAACATTAATACAGAAATACAAAAGGGCATATCATGGTATTTATAATTAGAGTTGGAAGTGGGAGGCTTCCTGGAGAAGGGGATTTTCAAAAAGATCTTGAAAGGGGTGAAGGGCAATGACATAAGAAAACAGGAAGATAGGTAAAAAGGCATAGAGGTAGGAATTAGCAGATCTTGTGCTAAGAAGTTGAAGCAGATTGACTTCAATCAATCTGGACAAAGTGGGGATGCTGATCTAGCTGGACCTGTACTTAGTACTCAAAGATTTACCCCCTTTCGTCTTACTGCCCCCCCCAAAAACCCCTATAACTAAACTGACTAGCCTTTACTATGTTAACTATCTAGGCTATGTTCTTCCTTTTCATTATAAACACCTGCTTATGCTCTGGTATGAATTCTCTGGTGTTTCCTCAAGTTTGAGCTCCACCTAAAGGTTTTCCCACATTCATTACACCCATATATTTTCTCCCCAGTATGAATTATTTGATGTTGAATGAGAGTTGAGCTACGACTAAAAGCTTTTCCACATTCATTGCATTCATATGGTCTCTGTCCTGTATGAACTCTTTGATGTTGAATAAGGCTTGAGCTATGAATGAAAGCCTTCCCACAGGCATTACACTCATGGGGTTTTTCTCCAGTATGAATTCTCTGATGTAAAATAAGATGAGAACTCTGACTAAAGACCTTTCCACATTCAAGACACCCATAGGGTTTCTCTCCAGTATGAATTCTCTGATGTAGGATAAGATGTGAGCTCCAACTGAAGGCTTTCCCACATTCATTACATTTATGAAGTTTCTCTCCACCATGAACTCGATGATGTTTTAAAAGGCCTGAACTGTCTAAGACATTCCCATTTTCATTATACTGATGGACTGTCTCCCCAGTGTGAATTCTCAGGTGTTCATTTAGGTGTGAACTACGGCTAAATGCTTTCCCACATTTATTACATCTATAGGGTTTCACTCCAGTATGAATTAATTGATGTTGAAAAAAGTTTGAACTCTGACTGAAGGATTTTTCACATATATTACATTTATAGGGTTTCTCTCCAGTATGAATTCTTTGATGTTCTCTAAGGTGTGAGCTTCGACTGAAGGCTTTCCCACATATGTGACATTTATGGGGTTTCTCACCAGTGTGAGTTCTCTGGTGTAGAATAAGATGTGAACTCTGACTGAAAGCTTTACCACATTCATTACATTTGTAGGGCTTCTCCCCTGTGTGAACTCTTTGATGTTTAATAAGGGTTGAGCTCCTACTGAAGGCTTTGCCACATTCTCTACATTTATGGGGTTTCTCTCCAGTATGGATTCGTTGATGTAATGTAAGCTGTGAGCTCTGACTAAAAGCTTTGCCACACTCTTTACATTCATAGGGTTTTTCTCCAGTATGAATTCTCTGATGTAACATAAGTTGTGAACGCCGACAGAAATCTTTCCCACATTCATTACATTTGTAAGGTTTCTCTCCTGTATGAATTTTCTGATGTTCAATAAGGTGAGAGTTGAGCCCAAAAGCTTTTCCACCTTCACTGCATTCAAAAGGTTTCTCTCCAGTATGAATTCTCTGATGGAGAATAAAGTCTGAATTGTATTTGAAGCTTTTGCCACAAGTATCACATTTATGGGACCTTTCTTCTGTAAGCTCTCTCTGCTGTGCAAAAAAATTGGAGTTCAGCCTAAAGTTTCTCCTAAATTCATTACATTCTTGTGCCCTCTTTTCTGTGAGTTTTTTTGGGTGAGGGGTGCTCACTTTCCTGAAATTTTTCTCCTGGAAAGGACATTTTCTTAAGCTATTCCCTGAAGAACTTTCCTTCTGTCTCTCCAAACTGCCTTCTGAGTCACAGCTTTCTCTAAATGAAAGACCCTGGGAACTTTCCAATGTCTTCCCCTCTGATTCTATTTCTTTGGAAACTTCCTGATTATGAGTGGATAGCCTTTTCTCAGTTCTGATCTTAGGACCTGAAAAAAATAAACAGATAATGTAAATTTCTCCTGTTGTCTTATAGAAATGAAGAAGTACTTGGCACATAGTAGGTTCTTAAGCATCTATTCCTAAACTAATGAAGAAATAAGATCATAAAATTGAAACTAATATCTAAGATAATTTTTGAAAATGTAACTTTTGATAGCTTATAAACAAGGGAACAAAATGGGAAGTTGATGTAATGCAGGGAATCCTAACCTGTGGTCCACAGATTCCCACCCTTCACCTCATGGGATCCATGGATAAATTTCAGGAAATCTATAAACTTAGATAGGAAAAAAATTTGCATCTTTATTTCACCAAAATTAGCATCCTTTGATAATCCTATACACTTTATTATATGCATTTTAAATGTTATTCTGAGAACAGTCTATAGGCTTCATCTGACCACTGAAGTTGTCCATAATACATAAAAGGTTAAGAACTCTAGTACCGTATAAAGAATACTGAATTCAGAGGCAGAAAGCATTGGTTCAAATTCTGGTGATGCTATTTATTGGCTACATAAACTTTAGCAAGTCACATACTACTCTATACCTCAGGTTCTTCATCTGAAGTCATTTGTAAGATGAGGGAATCTAACTAGATGATCTCAAAGGTCTCTCCCAGCTTGAGAATTTATACTCTGACCATTTGCTTTCATATGATAGAAGTTACTTACTAAGGGACTTAATGTCCCTTTTAAAAAGTTTTTTCTAAGTACCATTAAAATCCAGGTCTATATGTAGTACCTGCTATTATCCATTTTAAAGCACGTCTTCCAGTAGAAAATGGACTGAATTTGAAAATGAACTTTATGTTCCGGTCTTGGTCTTGCTGCTCACTAGCTATGTGACCCTGGGTAAGTCACTTCTATGGCCCATAGTTTCCTTGCTTATAAAATGAAGGGCTCTGAAACAGATGACCTTTAAGGTTTCTTCCAGTTCTAAATCATACATAAGGTACTATAAAAGTGGCCAAGAGCGAAGGCAGGGTGAGCACCAGGAAAGCCAGCAAAGAAAGGAAGTGTTTTTCATTACTAGCATAGGCCAGGTGGGAATGAACTCAAAAGATGTGGAGTTAGAAGAAAAGAGCTTTCAGAGTATATGGAAATAGAGGTGATATTCCACTGTCACTTAAGAGTTTTGGGTTTGTAAGCCTAAGTTTCTGTGGATCAGGTGGTTGCCATTAGGTGATCAAGGATATATGGCCTTAATACACAAGCCAAATTGCTGAGTTTTTTCTCAGAAGTGTATGACTGAGACTCAGAGCATTTAGGATTCTGTCAATTGCTTTTTCTATAAAGATATATTTTAAGATATGTAAAAAACTCCTTACAAAAGTTTTTGCTGTTGTTGCTCAGTCATTTTTCAGTTTTGTCCCACTCTTTGTGACCCCATTTGGGGTTTTCTTTGGCAAAGATACTGGAGTGGTTTTCCATTTCCTTCCCCAGATCAATTTGCAGATGAGGAAACTGAGGCAAACAGGGTTAAGTAACTTGCCTAGGGTCACAAAGCTAGAAAGTGTCTGAGGTCAAATTTGAATTCAGGAAAAGGAGTCTTTCTGACTACAGGCCTGCCACTTTATCTATTGCATCACCTAGCTGCCTTACAAAAGTAACACTAACTATAACTGCAGGGCATAAATAAACATATAATACAAATAAAACTTAAAAGAATTATAAATATCTAAATACAACTTGATGATACTTCTTAAATTTAACTTCAATTTTTAATAATCACTATAATCTAAATTTGACCTTCCTTCTGTGTCAGCAGATTCTTAACTGTCTCTGTCTTAGAGGTTAAAATCCTTTAATGTGTTTTTTCTTGCTGCTAGACTTAACTGCTATACATAACTCTACCCTGGCTTGCCCAAGGACTTAACAATCCCAGGACCTTGAAGACTGAGGAAAACACTTTTTACTTTAAGCTGCTTCCAGCTTATAAATGTCATTTATCAAAGAGAAACCAATACCATTTCCTCCCATCAAAGGATTTTTAAAAATTATCTCCCCTGCTCTAGCTAACTCACCCCTGTTCCTTTTAAAAAAAAAAAGTAATTTTACATAGCAAACAGATTTATTGACACCTGAATTCTTTGTCAGCAATGTCACTTCCCTTCTCAAAAATCTTCAGTCTATCTCAATGCCTATGGGATAAAATACAAACTTCTCAGCCTACCACTGAAGGCTCTCCAGAGACTGGTTACATTCCTTGACTTGTTTCATTCTACGCCCTCTAAAAGACTCTAGATTCCAACTAACTGGTGGGGCAATCAAGTGATATCATTCCATCCCATCTTCTCCAGTAGGTTACTCCCTCTATCACCCCATTCAGTTGTCTTCGACCTTTTCTTATCTACAGGCCATTTCTCTAATGCCTATTAACATGCCCATGTCTCCCCTATCCTTGAAAAACTCTTCTGGGGTCAGAGCCACAATGGTGGAAAAAAGGCAGTGACTCCTCTGAATTCTCCCAAATTCCTCTCCAAACAACTTTAAATAATCTCTCAAAACAAATTCTGGACAGCAGAATCCGAGAAAGGATGGAGTGAAACAATTTTCCAGCTAAGACAACTAGGAAGGTCAGCAAAAAAGATCTATCATACCAGGGTGAGAGTGGAGCACAGGCAGTGCAGGCCACCCCCCAGCAAACTAGCAGTGGCAGCTTCTGGAGCTCTCATCCTAAAAAATGTTAATGGAGTCAGACAACTGGTCAGAAGATTACAAGGGTTCCTCTGCTGGCACTGGGGTCAGGACTCTGTTGCATTGCCCATACATGGAGCTGGGTCATAGTCCCAGGATGAGGAAGAGCACTAGCATACCAGAGCTTGTGGCTACAGGGGAGTGGCGACCCTGGACACAGTTCCAGGACAGAAAAGAACACTTACAATAGTTCACAATCCAGTAGTAAACACACCTCCCCTTAGATTATACCACCTTGGGAGAACTGAAAACTTACAGATGCTCTGAAAAGAGCTGCACAAAAAACCTGAAGCTTGGAACAGAGCCCTCTCCACCTCAGGAGCAGAGTCCAACTTTAATATAAAGTTAAAAGCCAAGAAAGAGGCCATAAAAATGAGCAAATAACAAAAAAATTCTTGACCATAGACAGTTACTATAGTGACAGAGAAGATCAAAACACAGACTCAGAAGAAGGTAACAAAGTCAAAACTGCTACATCTAAAGCCTCAAAAAAAAAAAAAAAAAAAGTGAATTAGTCTGAGGCCCAAAAAGAATTCTAAGAAGAGCTTAAAAAGGATTTTAAAACTCAAGTAAGAGGGGTAGAGGTAAAATTGGGAAAAGAAATGACAGTGATAGAAAAAAAAAAATCATGAAAAAAAGAGTTGGCTTGGTAAATAAGGTGTAGGTGCGTACATTCACACCCACACACCCATACACACCATAATGAAGAAAATAACCCCTTAAAAAACAGAATAGGCCAAATCAGGGGTGGGGAACCTGCAGCCTCAAGGCTACATGTGGCCTTTTAAGTCCTTGGGTGCAGCCTTTTGACTAAGTTCAAGTTTTACAGAACACATCCTTTAACTAAGAGGATTTGTTCTGTGAAATTTGAATTCAGTCAAAGGGCCACACTTGAGGACCTAGAGGGCCACATAGGGCCTTGAGGCCACAGGTTCTCCACCCCAGGCCAAATGGTAAAAGAGACACAAAAACCCACTGAAGAGAAGAACTTCAAAAAAAGAATTAGCAAAATGGAAAAAAGATGTACAAAAATTCACTGAAAAGAACTCCTTAAAAAGCAGAATTGGCCAAATGGAAAAAGAAATAAACAAAAATTAGAATTAAACAAGAAGGTAGTGACTTGTGAGACATCAAGAAATAATCAAACAAAATCAAAAGAATGAAAAAACAGAAGAAAATGTGAAATATCTCATTGTAAAAAATAACTGACCTGGAAAACAGATAGAGGAGAGATAATCTGAGGATTGGATGACCTGAAATCCATGATCAAAAAAAAAAAAAAAAAAAAAGGAGCCTAGACATCATCTTTCAAAAAATTATCAAGGAAAACCATCTTGACATTCTAGAACCAGAGGGTAAAATGGAAATTGAAAGACTGCACTGATCACCTCCTGAAAAAGATCCTAAAATGAAAACTCCCAGGAATGTTATAGTCAAATTACAGAGCTCCCAGGTCAAGAAGAAAATACTGCAAGCAGCAGAATGAAACAATTCAAATATCACAGAGCCACAGTCAGGATAATACACGATTTAGCAGTTTCTACACCAAAGGATCAGAGGGCTTGGAATATGAAGTTAGGATTACAACCCGGAATCACCTGCCCAGCAAAACTGAGTGTAATACTTCGGAGGAAAAAAATGGATATTCAATGAAACAGAGGACTTTCAAGCATTCCTGATGAAAAGACCAGAACTGAATAGAAAATCTGACTTTCTAAGACTCTAGAGAAGGGTTAAAAAGGTAAAGAGGAAAGATAAATCATAAGGGATTCAATAAGGCTAAACTGTTTGCATTCCTGTAGGAGAAGATGCCTCAGACAGAAGATGCACAGTTGTTCTTGCCTGTTGTGTCTGTTAGGTGCCGGCCTTCACAGGCCAAGTGGTTCAGCCCAAGAGGTTCGGCCCAGTTGACAAATCTTTGTTGAACTGAATTGAACCTGATTCTGCTTCCGTTGTAGCCTATCTCTTTTTAAAAGGAGCTAATACTTTTTTCTCTTTTCTGACCATTTTAAGCACACAGTTATAACAGCTGTTTCTGTCATTTTGGTGATGTCAGACTCTTCATGACCCTATTTGGGGTTTTCTTGGCAAAGATACTGGAGTGGTTTGCCATTTCCTTCTCTAGCTCATTTTACAGATAAGGAAACTGAGGCAATGTTAAGTGACTGGCTCAGGGTCACACAGCTAATGAGTGTCTGAGGCTAGATTTTAACTCAGGTCTTTCTGACTCCAGGCCTGGCTCTCTATCCACTCACCACCTAGCCACCCTTAGTTAGAAGAACATATTTCTGTAAACAAAATCGCACTTGGTTTTCTTCAGAAGTAGGATGGAAAGAGAGGGGAGTCCTACTGATTCTTCCTCTGCACCATCTCTCAAACTCACCTAACCCCATCTGCTCCACTTCCAATGCCATCACACTCATCAGGATACTGCAAAAGCTTCCTAAAAATACATCCTCGTTTCTAGGCTCTTCTCCTCCAATCCATCCTACACACAGCTACTGGATTAATTTTCCTAAAGCACAGTTCCACTAAAGTACTTTGATACCTGGGTACAAAAAGGCTTTCCCAGCAGAGGTCAAGCTGAAGCTGGTCTTGCCAAACTCTAAAAGCTTCAAGCTAAAGCCTGTCAATGTCTAAAGACTAACACTATTAAGTATAAGGGGGCTCAGCTCCAGAAACCGGGCCAACAGGTGTTGATTTTGGTTAGCCAGAACAACTAATCAATATTATCTACTAACCTGTGGAGGAACTGTGATCTGCACTGCTGGAAGAAGCATTCAGAGCAACAAAATCACTGACCTTTTGAAGTACTGTTGCTTGATGATTTCCTTGGCTTACACGGAATCAATTTTCATCTCTGTGCAGATGATTCTCAAATCTACTTACCCAGCCTTAACCTCTCTGCTAATCTCCAAGTCTCAAACCTCCAACAACCTACTGGACATTTCAAACCGGATGAACTGAACTCATTCTCTTTCCTGCCAAAACTTTCCCCCTTTTAAACCTTCCTATTACCATTAAGGACACTACCATCCTCTCAGTCTCCCAGGCTAGCAACCTCAATTCCCCACTCTCACCCCCCCCCCAATATCCAATCTGTTGCTAAGACCTGTTGTTTCTACCTTCACTATACCTCTAGTACACACTCCCATCTCTCCTCTGACACTGCCACCACCCAGGCCCTCATTACCTCACAGTTAAACTTTTGCAATTGCCAGCTAGATGTCATAGAGAACAATGAATCTGAAGTGAGGAAGTGTTCAAATCCAGCTTCAGACACTTACTAGTGTGTGACCCTGGGTTAGTCACTTAACCTGTCTGCCTCAACCCCTTTTCTCTAAAATAGGATTAATAACAACACCTACCTTGAAGGGATGTTTTGTGAGGATCAATGAGATAATACTTTTAAAGGATTTTGAAACTCTTAAAGCACTATATAAATGCTAATTATAGCCTTCGGGTTGTTGCCTGGCTTCAATTCTCTCCCCACTCAGCTACCAAATTGCTCTTCCTAAAGTAGAGGTCTAACCGTGTCAATTCCCTATTCAATAAACTCTAATGGCTCCCTATCACCTCTAGGATCAAATAGAAGATCCTTTGTTCTGAACCCAAAGGTCCTGAACAGACAGTAGGAATACCTACTTGCTTCACACTTCTACTTCCAGACTCTCCCTTTACCCTGATTATTCAGCAACCTCTCCTCTTTTGAAATCTCAATCAAAATTTTCTACCCAATCTAAATCATAGTAACCTGTTGTATATTGACCCCCAGGTCACTTTCTTCCTTTCTCAAGGAATTCAACACCTGACACCATCTTCACTCCTCTCCATCTTCACACGGAGCTCCCTCTAACTCCCCAACTTCTCAATCCTTCAGCCTCCCTAGATCCTACGGCCTGCTGTTTTCATTCCATCTCAACCACATGTTGTGGTAGTCGCACACTGAATCCTACCAACTCCACTTCCTCAATTAGCAATTCTGACATTACTCTCTCAGACCATAACCTCCGGCATTTCATCTCTCCCTATGCTTCACCCCTCCTCAACCTATTCCACCATTCACACTTTTTCTAGGCAGGTACTCCTGCTCTAACTTTACTTTCCTCCCTCTCCAACTTCAACCCTATTGTTAAGACATTTCAGCATTACACTGTCCTGTTTTCAAATCCCTCACTCCATCATGCTATCATCTACCTTCTCTTGCCAAATTTCAGACTTAGATTACTCCCTCCATCTACCTTTTCCAATCCACTCACGGGCTGCTGAACAGAGCTAAAGGAGGCTCACTGGAGGTACTAGAGGTATATGCCAACTGGAGGTATATTATAAATTCATACTATCCAACCTCAACTGGGCCCTTGTCATAGCAAGGCAGTCCTTTTATTCCTCCCTAACTTGATTTCCTATCTCACTCCCCACAGAAGCTATTCCTAACCTTTCTTCCCTCCTCACACTTCCCACATCCCTGCCTCTCCCCGTTCCTCTTCTCCCATCGTCCCCTTGACCCCATCACCTACTCTCTTCTTTCCACCAGTCTCTGACAAAGATATGGTTCTTCTCCTTGACAAGGCCACCCCCTCTACAAGTGCACTTAATCCCAATAGCCTCTGTCTTCTTGAGGAGACTGCAACCTCAATCATTCCATCTCCCTGGAATCCTCAGCCTCTCCCTATTGACTGGTTCCTTCACTATTTCCTTTAAAAGAGCCTAAGCGACCCTCTACTATTAAAAATTTGTCACTTAACACTACCATTCCCTCAAGCTATCACCTTTTTCTCAATCAAATTCCTTGAAAAAGATATATAGATATATGTAGACATAGATATGTCTATACTTAACTCCACTTCCTTTCTGGCTTCTGACCTCATCACTCAACCAAAACTGCTTCAAAGTTGCAACAGTCTCTTAACTGACAAATCTGATGTTCTTTTCTTAGTCTTAACCCTTCTCAATCTTTCTGTGGCATTTAACACAGTGATCAACCTCTCCTCCAGGACCTCTCTCCTTTCTGGATCTCAGTGACATGATTTTCGACTGATTCTCCTACTGATCTGACCAGTCCTTCTCCATTTCCTTTGCTGGCTCATCATTCAGATCTTTGGAAATTCCCCAAAGTCCTGTCCCTAGATCCCCTCTGCAGGATCAACTCCTCTGTCTGGCTTTTAAAGTACTTCACATCCTGGCCCTCACCTATCTTTCCAGCCATACTGGACATTACTCCCCACCTCACAAGTTAAGATACTGCCAAACTAGTCCTCTCTCTGTTCCTTACAGGTCACACTCCATATCCTTTCTCCAAGTCTTTGCATTAGCTGCCCCAATGCCTGGAAAGCATTCTCTCCTCACTCCCACCTCCCCTAATCCCTCTCTTCCTTCAAGATGCAGACCAAGCACTACCCTCTACAAGAAGTCTATCCTGATCCCTTCAAATGCCAGTAACATCTTTCCCAAACTTCTTTATATTAAGCGACTCTGTATTTAATTAGGCTTATTCTCTTCATATTTGTTCTGTGTAAGTGCTTCTCGTCTTACTCAACAGAATATCAGCCCCCTGCAAGTAGTGATTGATTCTGTGCATTTATGCCTCCAGAACCCAACACAGTAGCTCAAACACAGCAGGCACTTAAAGGGTATTTGTGATTTGCTGACTGATTGTGGGCAAGTCATTTCTCTACTCTGAGTTTCAGTTTTCTCATCTCTAACATGGGGAAAGTAATACTTGTACAATCTAATCTCACAGGGCTATTATAAGGAAAGCCCACTGTAAACCTTCACACACCATATAAACATGACTCTTCTCTCCCAATCTCTGCCTGACAACATCCTACCTACCCTTCAAGGCCCAGGTAAAATGCCACCTCCTCCATGAAGCTGTCCAGATATCCCAAGTAAGAAGTGATCTTTCCCTTATTGAATCTCATAGCACTACCAGATACACCCAGACTCTTCTAATTTCTGTTGTACTTATTTGTCCTTTTGCCGTGTCTGTGTATAAAGTGTACTGTAAACTCTTAAAGGTAGGAACCATCTTACTTACCTTTTTGCTTGCTTCCAGGGCCCAGCATAAAAATCTTCAGTAGATTCCCATTGCCTACAGATCAAAGTTCAAATGTCTTTGTCCAGTATTCAAGGCCCTCCACAAGCCAAAACCACCCTGCCTCCCTAGTTCCTTCAATAAACCCTCATATGACATGAACACAGGTAACGTGTAAAATGGAACTGGAATAAAAAAAAAAACCTGGGCTACTTATTAACTTTATGGCCCTAGACAAACCGGACTGGGCCTCAGTTTTCTCATACATAAAACACGGAGCTTGAACTAAATAATCACTAAGGTCTAGATTCTACGATCTATTTCAGCTAAAATCCAAGAACTCATTCAGAGCTTGAATTTAAGTAACCCCTCTAAGTATTGTTCACAAAATCATATTAGGTAGTCCTTTCCCCTTCTTCCTCCCTTTTTCCACCTCCCCAATATGAATCTTTCGCCTAGATTTGTACAGCTACATTTCTGGAGTCAAGTGAAGGACTGGACAAAGGAATAGGAACACTGTGATGTGGACACTAGATCTGTAGTGAGAGGACCTTGGTTCCAATCCTGCCTCTGCTACTTCTCCACTGGATGAGCTCACTGCAAGTCATTTCACCCATCTACACCTCAATTTTGTCATCATAAAATAAAGATTAAGACTAGACAGCCTCCTAGCTCTTTTCTGGCTCTAAATTCCATGAGCCCATCCCTGAGTCAGCTCAGTAAAGTCCTTCAGAAGCCCTGCAGCTATTAATAAGGCAGGCAAGGCCAAAAGCCCCAAGAGAGCAGATTCCAGAGAGTCCTTACCTAGGGAGACCATGTTCCCATAATTCTCCAGCATCACATCCCTGTAGAACACCTTTTCATGGAGGTCAGGTTACTCCAACCTGAGCCATACAGCCACAGCCTTGTACATCGATGACTCCTAAAACAACACGTTCCAGGAGGACAGAGAATGAGGGGAAGAAGAGAAAACAAAGGGGAAGGGGATGGAAATATAAAAGATCCTGCATATTTATGTCCTTGTGGAGACAAGGGAACTAAGTCCAGTATTACATGCATAGAATCTGATTCCCACTTATCCTTCCATAGAGAAGAGAGTCACTGGGACCCCAGCAAAACTTGTCAAAGAATCAATGGTGAATCCACAACTAGAAGCTAGGTCCTAACTCCCAGTCCCAGGATTTTTCACCAACTCCATACTAATTTTATTTATTTAATTTCATTTGGAATAGAACCAAAAGCTCACAAACCTAGGAAACTGGGAGGTCAGAGGTGATCCAAAAGGCCTATGTTCTGGGGGTATGGAATGGTACAATAGAAAACACCCTCTTCTTGGAATCAGGACACCTCCATTCTATTCTCAGCTCTGCCAATGACTTGCTGTGTGACCTTGGGCATGCCACTTCCCAATAATGAGCCTTTTCACTTCCAAAAATTAGGCCAAAAGCCCTACTCTACATACCTTTCAGCACTGTGAAGATGAAAGCACTAAAGAAATATGTTCTATTATCATTATTATATATCTGACATTCATTCAACAAACATTTGAGTACCCAATATATGCAAGGGGTGGTAGAGAGTATCAGACAAGGACTATATTGCAGATAAGTACTGTAGAACCCTGGTGACCACAGACAAGTCACTCATCTCTATGGGTTGTCATTTCTTAAAGGAGAAGGGAGAATGATCTCTAAGATCCCTTTCAGTTCTGAATCCAGCAATGATCTTTTTTGTCCATAATTATGATGTCAGCGATACAAACTGTGTGTAACTTACAGTTTTAGTGACTTGCTTGGGAACTGAGACATCAGGCTTATAAAATTCCTTACATTAATCATTTTATTTGATCTTTACAATCCTGGAGGTAAGCATTATCTTCATTTTACAGATGAGGAAAATGAGCTCTTTAAGACTGCCTCCAACCTCCCTTGCCAGACTCATTCCATATTAGTCCTCTCCATACATTCGATAGTCCAACCACACTGGCCTCTCTATGTACTATTCCCTAACTCAATATCCTATCTCCTACTTTTGCACATGCTGTCCCCACCCCCATTGCTGGAATGTTTGCCTCACCTGTGTCTCTTAAAATCCTTAGCTTCCTTCAAGGCTCAACTTAGATGGCACCTCCTACTGGAATCTGATCCTGATGCTCCTAGATGTTAGTATTCTATCTCTTCTCAAATTTATCTGTTTACCTATTTCCTCTTCCCCAACAGAATGTAAGTCCCTTAAGGTTAATGATTGTTTTTTATTTTGTTTCTGTAGAATCTTGTATATAACAGACTCTAAATTCTTGTTAAATTGAATTAAATGATTTGCCCTTGGTCACACAGCAAATTAAATGTGGAGAGGCAGGATTACCATTCAAATCTCTCCCTACTCCAAGTTCTAAAAACTTTCCCCACCTTGAGACTGTAAACTTACTGAAGGTAGGATTTATCTGGCAGACCAAGCAAAGCGCTGGGCCTTGTTAAGGGAATGAATGAGTGACATTTGCAGCCTCTTTCACATAAATATCACCCTCAGGCAGCCTTTTTGGGTGCCCAAAGGCCCTCAGCCCTCAAAAGCTCCCATAAACTAACAAGTGCACAGCCTGGTCAGCCACACAAAGCTATCGTAAACTACAGGTACTCACAAGTCCCCTTTACAACATCCTCAGAGGTGTCAGTACAATCTTCAATGGGAGACCTCCAGTGATGGAAAACTCACTACTATGCAGAAGATTATCTCCCTGGAGTTGAGAGTCGGGAAGGACCTGGGTTTGAATCCTGCCTCAGACCAGCAGTAGATGTGGGACCCTAGGAAAACCACAACCTCTCTTAAACGTTTAGTCTCCTCATCTGTAAACTGAGGATAACAGCATCTACTTCATAGGAGGTGAAATAGATAACATGTGCGAAGCATTTTGCAAACCTTAAAGCGTTAAGTAAGTGCTTATTGTTATTATTATTATCATTATTATCATTACTGCACCCCCCCCCCCACTCCCGCTCCCCGGGGCCCATCCCACCCTGGGCCAGCCCTAACAGCGGGAACGATCTCCCCACTGGGTCGTGCGGCGGTGCTTCTGCCTTTCTCTGTATCCCCAGCGCCCAGCTCGGAGCTTCGCACACAGTAGGCGCCTCACAAATGCTTGGAAGCTGAGGTCGGGCTCGCACCCAGCTACCCGGCCGCATCTTCCCCGTCTATGCCCGCTCTTCAGGGAAGCTTCGAGGACCCCGAGGGCGGGGCGGGGCGGGGCTCGAGAACTCGGGCCCCCAAGGTCCGGGCGGGGCTGGCAAGGAATGGGGGAGGAGGACGGGGACCGCGGACACACCCTGGAGGGGTGGAACCCGGACCACACTCACCGGCCGCCGCGGGGTCCTCGGGAAAGGCCACCGGCAGCGGCCACCAACAACGACGACCGGAAGCGACCCGGGAAGCCACCGGCCGGCGGAGCAGGAGTCGGGCCTACAGCGCTTCCTGGGAAGCTCTAGGCTTCTGGGAGGACTGCCCATCTCGGTGGTTCAACGCGTCCGGGGAGACAGCCCCGCCCCCTAAGGGGCGAGTGGGAGGGGAAAGAGGAGTCGAGGGCCCGTCCCACTCGCCACCTCACTCGTCCCTTCTCCATAGCAACTGAACCTTTACCCTTCGGTTTAATTTAATGAACATTAAGTGGTTATTAGTATCATCCTATTTTTGTTGTTCTGTCGTGTCCGCCTCTTTGGGGTTTTCTTGGCAAAGATACTGGAGTGGTTTGCCATTTCCTTCTCCAGCTCATTTGTACAGATGAGGAAACTGAGGTAAACAGGGTTAAGGGACTTGCCCAGGGTCACACTGCTAGTAAGTGTCTGAGGCTGAATTTGAACTCAGATCTTCCTGACTCATCTTCCTGAGCTCAAATCTGGCCTCACTTTCATTTTCTGTAAAAATGATGGAGTTGGGGTAGCTAGGTGGCTCAGTGGATAGAGTACCAGCCCTAGAGTCAGGAGGATCTGAGTTCAAAACCAGCCTCATAGACATTACTAGCTGGGCAAGTCACTTAACCCCAATTACCTCAAAACAACAACAACAAAAATCATGGGATTGAATAAGGCTGGAACTTTTGGGAGATGAGGTCGGGGGCCTTCCAGAAGAAGAAAAGGAGCTATCAGGTCAGGTCAGGGATGGGGCTGGGAGTGGAGGTTGGTGACACCAAAGGTCAGCTCTATCCACTTCCCTTTTCATTTGGGCAAGAGTTTCTCCCTCTTCACTCACCCTGCTATGATAGCTTAGCAGACTTATGCAACGAACCCCCTTGCAATGCCCACCGGAAGCTTCCTGCTGAGGGTAAGCACTGCACTGTCCAGGGCTCAACCTTGAAATAGAAGCTTCCTGGTATAAAGGGGAAAGTCCTGGAGTGGGAGTCAGGACACCTGGGTTCCAGTTCTAGCTCTGCCATTAACTCATTTTTTTACCTTAAGAATGGTAATTGCCTCCTGTAGGCTTCATTTTCCTTTGGTGTGAAAAGGGAATAGAACTAAATGATCTCAGGAAAAGATAGACAGACAGAAAGAAAGACAGAGAGAGATTGAAGGAGGAGGAAGAGAGGAGGGAGAGACAGACAGAGAGACACAGAGAGAGAAACACAGAGAGAGAGACAGAGAGAGGAAGAAAGGAAAGACTTTGTTCAACTGAAGATATGTGAAAAAGGACACATTGTTGTGTATGAATCTGAGAGTAAATAATACTCTGACAGTGTCTGTGACAAATCGTGTATGTGATTGTGAATAAAGGAGAGTAAGGCTTTGTGTATCTGGGTACACACGGTGGGGGGAGTCTTCACGTCAGCTTCTTGCCTGCTTTCCCCTCACCCCTCCATGCCCTCCACTGATTTCCCCACCAGTCTGGGTTTGCGTCCCAGGCAAACCAGGAACCTGGCAGGCAGATATTACTCTTGGCTCCAGGGATACCAAGGAATGCAGGTGCTCTGGACCTTACTGGGAGTGGGCTATGGTCAGGATCCCAGGCATCCAGACCTCTTCTACCATGGACCCCTCCCCCAAGTCTCCATTCTCCCTCTGGAAACCAGGGGTCCAGACCCCTAGCCTTCCCTTCCCCTCAGGGACTGGGGGGAGGGGAGGGAGTAAGAATGTGAGGCTTCTTCCAGGCCAAACTCTGACTTCAACTCACCCCGCAGCAGCCCCCCTCCACCAACACCACCAACACACTTGCATCCAGACCCAGAACTGCTCCAACTCCCTCCCATTACTCACATCCAGCGCAGCTTTGGACACAGAAGCAGATCAGAAACAGAGCACCGTACTACCCATGAGACCAACGCCCCAGAGAGAAAAGCCCCAGCAGAGAGAGCCAGGACCTACAGGTCTGGGTCACCCCAGGAGCAGGAAAACAAGACTGTGAGAGCCAGAGAGTAGGGGACATACACGGTGGGAGAAAGACAGCAAAGGTAAGCTAGGGGGCAATAGACAGACACAGTGAGACAGAGAAACAGAGATAGTGACAGAGACAGAAGAGCAACTTAGTGTGGTAGAGAGGAAGCGCGACAGTGACTAACAGGGAAAGATGATCAGAGATGGCAAGAGATGAAAGAGTCAGAGACACAGTAAAAGAGAAGTAAAGAGAAAAGATACATTGAAATGAGAGACAGTGTAAGAGATAGATAGGGAAAATAGTAGGAGACAGAGTAGGTCAAAGGAGAGTGAGAGTTTTAGATCTGGGAACAGGACAAAAGATAGGGAAAGACAGAACAAGTGCTTATCAGGCAGTTCTCGGTTCTAACAGAAGCTGCCCAATAGCTAGCCATGTCCCCAACACTGCCCCCAGCTCCAGTCTCTGAGGGCCTCTCCCCAGCCATTGTGGAAGGCTCCCTGGCCCTATTGGGCCTGGGGGTTGCTGTTGGAAATTTTTATGCCTTGTGTATGGGGCAAGCAGGCCTGGGTGGGAGGGCCTTGGCTCCACACCTGGCCCAGCTGGCTGGGGCTGACCTCCTCTACTCGGCCTCTGTCCCCTTTGTGGTCCACAATGCCCTGACAGGTGACTGGGCTTTTGGAGACACTGGCTGCTGTCTCATCCTGGCACTGGACCTCTTTGCCATGCATGCTGCCATTTTCCTGCTGACTGGCCTTGGTGCCCGCCGCTATCGAGCTGTGGCCTACCCATTATCCCCAACTCCCACCTGGCATGGCCCTGCTGTAGCCGCTGCTGCTTGGGCAGCCTCAGGCCTCCTAGCCCTGCCCATGGCACTGATGGCCCAATAAGAGGAGTGGAGTGGAGGACAACGGCTCTATGGGCCAGGCCGGAGTGAAGCCCAGGCCTGGGCCTACCTTACAGGACTAGCAGGGGCTGGGCTTCTGGGGCCAGGCCTGGCCTTGGCTGTCATGTACGGGCGGCTGGTCCAGCTCGTGGGCCATAGTCAGAGAAACCTCAGAAGGCATGGCAGGGAGCTCCACAGGGGCAGTCTTCACCTCTTTGCCTTGACTGGAGCAGCTGTGCTGGTCTTCTGGGCCTGCTACCTCCCCTTCTGGGCCTGGCAGATAGTGCCCCTTTACTGAGCCTTTTGACCACCTGACCCCAGCTACACAGGCCCAAGTCACACATGCCATCACAGCCCTCACCTATGTCAATAGTTGCCTGGATCCTATCATCTACAGTGGGCTCGGGCGCCGCTGCTCAGATGCCCTAGGCCAAAGGAAGAAGAGGGCAAAGAGAAGGAGAGATGGTGCCTCAGGGAAACCGGGATGGAGAGTACTGGTGAGGGCTGGGGGCCTTGGACTGAGAGTGGGGAGGAAGACCTGAGTCTGGAATGCCTGGGACCAGGAAGGGTTGGGGGAGGACTGACCACCACCAGCTCCTCCTTTCCCCGATCTCTTGACTTCTTCCTCTCCTACTGCCTCTTCTCTCCCTCTGTTCTGCTTCCCTTCTTCTCTATCAAAATCTTAATTCCTTTCGCTGCCCCTATTCCCATGCCTCCCTCTTTCTCCTTTCTCACAGATGTTAAAGGCAACAAGGACAAAAGCAACAGTAGCTGGAGCACCTGGATTGAAGGGACCCAAAGGAGCAGGAAGCCCAGAAGAACCTGCTGTTTCCAGCCTTGTGTGTGACGTAAGCAGAGACCCTGCCTCAGCCTCTTCAAGGAGCCTTAAGAGATACTGTCCAACAGGGACAGAAACTGCCCTGCTCTGCTCTAGCTGGGTGTGTGGAAATGTAAGCAGAGTCCTTGCTTCAACCTCATTGAAGAGCCCTTGTCCAGCAGGGACAGAGCCAACATTGCCCTGCTCTAGTCTGTCCATCTCTCAACAGGATGCTAGCCCCCAGGGAGAACATCTCCCTCTGAAATACATTGACCCTCATCTCCCAAACCCAGGCCCCTTGGGGACCCAGGCATCTGGGTCCTGCTCTCAGCTTACTGAAAGGAGGGGAGACCAAGTGATGCCCTAATAAAAGTTCCTGGGCTTCTGTCCTCTCCCCTTCTCTTCTCCTCCCCAAACGTAGCTACGCCATGTCCAAACTGTGCCAGCCCCTGGTCATGCCTGGCCTTCCTTCCCCTTCTCTTCCCCCCACCAGCAGGAACAGACCCTACTCCCTAGGCCCAGCAGTGCCATCCACGTTTACTCTGCAGCTCAGCTATGAAATCCATATCTGCCATCCAACCCCACCCTTTACTTCTCTGGGCTTTTTCCTGATTTTTCTTGATCCAAATGGGGGTTGGGGGGTTGGCTGAGGGTGAAGGAGTGATCAGATCTGTCTGAAATGACTCACCTTAGTGATCTCTCTCTTTCCCTCTCTCTCTCTCTCTTTCCATCCTGCCTTTTCTCTCTGTATTTTTTCCCCTTAATTGTCTCTCTGTCAGTCTTCTCCTCCCTTCCCCAGACTCCACAGCTTCTTCACTCTCTTCCTCCAATCTTACCCTCCCCTTCTGATCTGGTGCCCCACATGAAGGGCTGCATATACTAACCTCTAGCCTCTGGCCCTTCAGAGATCTGCTTTTGTGTTTAGGCCCCATTGTGTCCTCCACCCCATACATACCGTGGGAAGCCAGATGTCCCCTTTCTTAGCCTCTAACCCTGCTTTTCCTAGGGGACTTGTAGCCTATTTTCCCTCAGGTTTTGTCCCATCTGATACCCAAGAATCTGACTGATAGCCCCTGCTGCATCAGGGACCCAGGCATCTGGTCTCCAGCTGCCCTATTGTTCCAATCATCATCTTTGTCACTTCTAATACCCTAATTTCCTTCTCTAGGAAATTCCCCTAATGTCTTGTCTCTGGCATAAAAATATAAGTTACTTGAAGGCAGGGCAACTGTCTTATTTTCATATTTGAATTCTCAGCATTTAGCACAGAGGTTGTCATATAGTAAGCATTTAATAAATACATTCATTTATTCAGACCACAAATGTCTGGCCCCTATCCATCACTGCAGGGACTCCAATGAAGGGTCCCTTGGACTGAATCAG